CCTATGCCGGTTGTCCTTCGTGGACAAGTGTGCTTAACATGTGTTATATAACGTAACAACAAGCGCCGGGCAAAGCCGCGGATTGTCTTCTGGTATATCATGATATCATATGTTATTATAAAGTACTTTTTTTAAAATTTATATAGAGTATAATCCTCTCCAACGATGATTTGTCATTAAACCACTAACTTGGAGTCTAGCGAATATCAGTAGGTGTCGGAAACGCCCATGTAGTGCGTAATACTTACATAAAGCTTATTTGATTAGATAGAATATTTCTGATGAAGGTAGTTGAAGTTACAAAATACGAGTTGTGTCTCTCTAGTTGTACAATCGGTCGCAAACTAGATCCTGGATTTCAGAACCGTTCATAAGGGCGAAATATTAATTTCATGTAATCTTGATCATATTCTAAGAATTGTTTGGGTATTTATGGTTACCACGGGGTGTGAACACAAACCGGCTTTGCGTGTTTGCATACGCACATTTTGCAGGCCACTATCGACGGCCCACTGGATGCCCTCGCAGGTCTATATCACTCGTGTCGGACTGTACATACGCCGCCAAAAATAGCGAACTTTGCCTCTGCGAAGTTCTCTATGTGTGTCTATCAGCGTTTGCTGGAGAAGAAAAACACGTAGGCATAATGTAACTAAACATACGAAAATAGACCTGTCTAGAGCACAGGAACAGGCATTCAACACGAAACTAAATAGGAATTTGTCGATATGAGTCAACGGTAAGCAGGCGTATTTGTGAGCAAGAAATCGTTTAGACTAAAAGGTACGGTTGTGCGGTAAAACTAAGACTATAAGTAGAAGCGTGCATCACTGTCAATGCCAAAGATGTGTTTGAACGTGTACTTAATAGTTATCAGGGCCTACGTTTAGGTCCTTAGGCTCTATCGCATTTACACGTTACATGACGATAAAGAAAACGATAACCCTTAACAGTACTGAAAAGTTGTTGTGACAGAAAATGAAATCTCCAAAAATCAGAGCAACAGCGCTTAATATA